AGCTCTTTTCTAATGCAGAGACTGAAGGCTCTGTGAATACAGCTTGTGTTCAGGTCTTTATCCTGTTTGTATCTAAAATAATCTTTCTAAACTTTTAACAAAAACATTTATTTAGTTTTATTCACAGTAATGAATGAAATACTGAGATATGGGCCTGCTGTTTATATTTTTTTAACGTTTCCTTATATCCCTTAAATCAAGAAGGCCTTGCAACCCCCTGTGAAGCTTTGCCGCCCCCTAGTGGAGGTCGAGACACCTGAGTGTGGAAAAAACCTTCTGTGCCGTGGGCTTTTGTTTTTTGGATAACGGGATGTAGGTCAAATGGGCTTTTGGTTTTCAGACAAATAGGGTATTGGATAACAACAACAACAATAAGAAGTCCAGAATCAGACACCTAAACACTGCACAGCGATTTATAATACTATGAGACAAGTATAGCATTATAAACAGTTGTTTTAACAATATCCTATTTATTATTATTATACGACGAGCTGAAGGAGGGTTGAATGAGACTAAAGAATAAATAGAACAACAATTATTAGTAGTTAATTAAAAGGGAGACAAACAGAAAGGGGAATACTGAAGAAGAAAATCGAGACAGAAAAGGGCGAAGAAGAGGAGGAGAGAAAAGATGATGATGATCGCTGGTCTCCTCCCTCCCTCTCTCCCTCCTTTTATTTATTCATAATGCCTCTCATGGTAGAGCGTTGAAGAGGTACAAGCGAGAAAGCAGCTGAAGCTTTGCTCTCGGCGGGCAGTTGTCAGACACCATGATGGGATTTCCACCGTGGACCACGCCTCTGTCGACCGACGCCGGTGTCTGTGGACCCTGAACAGGTATGTAGAGACAGAGATTGATTACATAGATATACTATTATAGGGAGTTGTTTGATTTGTCTGATTTCTGGTATTTACCGTTAAGAAGTCACTTACTATTCTTATTATTACATTCACATTAATCCTGTAATATTAGCTTAGAGATATATAGTGTTTAATGGTATTTCAGATGTTTAATTAATCACTAAAACATTCTTATTCCTACCGATAGAGTAAAAACATGTATTGCCAGGCTTGAGGAGTAATAGATTACATGTACCTGAGTTACATAATCAGGATACTGATGTAATCCATTTAGTTACATTTAGTAAAAATGGGGATTATTAAAAACAAAAGTCTGTCAGTTTCTTTAAAAATACACTGAGCATGGACACATCTTTGAATGAAGGTTACATTGATCTGTTGTCTTACTATTAATACTTCTTATTAGTGATTTATTATGTTAATAACCTTTTAATATTTTGATACTTGGATTCGGTTACTCACTAGTTTTTGTCTTGTCTAACATTTTTAAACCTTTCCAACCGTCTGTATTGCATAACTGTCATTGTAATAATCTAGTCATGAATGTGGGTGTGTCGGGAACAGCAGAGGAAAACGACTCGATAGATATAAATAGGAAAGAACAAAATGACCCATCAATAACTGAGTTGATATTTAACAGACAGAAAACATATTTAAAGGTGTAAAATTTTCTTTTGTATCATAATTGGCATCTAAAAATAGAATATCTTTACTATTGATACCATGAAAGAGGGATCAAGCTCTATTAGTTGAAACATTTTGTACATATTATGTTTAAATTATTGTTGATTTGTATTGATCATTTGTTTCTCTATGTGTCCAATCAGGTGCTGACCTTTGATTGCCAAAAACAGCTGACTCTTACGTATCACTATGGAAACCTCCCCAAATGTTTCTGAATGCAAGAAGGACGATGTCCAATCAGAATGCTCCGATCCCGGGGAGGCGGGACTTGCAGATCCCAATGCCAACTGGGGGGCTGAGCCTAACTTCAACCTCAACCTCAATCTGGCGTCACCGAGGAGCCCCCGCCCGGCCACAGAGACCTCAAAGCTGCATGGAGGGAACAAAGGAGGTGGGAAACCTGGGGCAAAAGGGGTGGTTACTATGGAAACTGGCAAGTCAGCAAGCACCCTGGCGACTCCTGTGATGTCACCAGGAGAGAGAGACGATCCATCGCAGCAAAAAAGCAAAATTCCAGCTTTGTCTCGCTCACCAACAGCCGAGGCGTCGGTAAGCAGCCGAGGCGAGCAACGGCTGAAATCCCCAAACCCCAAACATACTCTGACGCTCAGCCCCAAGACGCACACACATGGCAACATGGCGGCAAGTCCAAAACCTAACCGGGTGGAGCAAACGGCGTTCACTAGCAGCCCGAGAATGACGGAGAGAGTCAAAACACATGTACAAAGAGCGGACTCTGCAAACCCCAAACCACATACTGCACCGACGACTGAACTGACAACAAAGACTACAAATAAAATAACAGTTAGCCTGAAAATGCAAACAAACAAGAAGCAAGATGGTGGAAAACAAATTAGCCTTGAGACGCCAAAAACGCTTCAGCTTCCCATAAACCACCAGAATCAAAAAGGAGATTCAAACGTAATCAGTCCAAAACTAACCAACAGAACCCCAACAATGGCAGCCAAAACCCAAAAACCAGACCCAGCAAGCATGAAGTCAAACGAGCCGACCGGACACGACTCAAGAACTCATGGTTCTGAGACGAAATTGCAAACCCAGAGGGCTGAAACGGCACTGCTCGGTACCAAGACCCCTCAACTGAGTTCTCTGAGTCCCAAACCATCCACACAGAGGAAGGCCTCTGGGACCAGGAACAGTAACGCATTAGGGTCCAAGGAGAATCTTAATAGCAAAGATTCAAGTGTTGGTTCTGGATCCAAAACAAATTCAAAATCCAGTTCAAGAGCTACGATGGAGACCAAGGACAGTCTGGACTCAAAAACTGGTTCTGATTCCAAAGCCAATGCTAAAACCTCAATGGGGTCCAAAGATAGCCTGGATTCTAAAAGCGGTTCTGCTTCCAAAACCAGTTGGGGATCAAAGGACAGCTTAGACTCCAAAACTGGCTCCAATTCCAAAGCCAGTCCGAGTTGTAAGTCTGGAATGGGGTCCAGAGACAGCCTTGATTCTAGACCTGCAATCGAAATCAGAGCAAGCAAAACCAGTCCAGATTCTAAGGCAGTCGCGGGTAATAAGTCTGTGATAGGGTCAAAGGACAACCTGGATCCTTCAGACTCAAAAGTGAGTTTCAACCCAAAAACTGGTCCAAGTTTTAAACCAGGTTCCGAGTTGAATCCAAGCTATAATGCAGAAGTCCTTTCCAGTCCTAAACCTGGTCCGACCCGTTCTACTTCTAAACCCTCTTTGGTGGTCTCTGGCTGTAAGGAGGGCTATGTTGGATCTGTCTCCCCATCGTCCTCTAGAACTGGTCTGTCTGGGTCCAAAGATGACAACCTCAAGACCACAAGCTCCAGGGCTAAACATAGTCCAGATCCTAAAGCTGGTTCAGAATCTTCTAAACCTGGACCAGTTCGGTCGAGTTCAAAATCAGCTCTGGCAGATTTGTCGCCCTCCTCGACACTCTCTCCTAGAAGTTCAGCAAGTAGGAGTCCTGGGTCTGATCCTGGTAAAATCCTCAGTTCTGGTCCAACTGGCCCACACAGGGAGATCCAGAGGAGTCCAG